TCTTTCAGATGGACAAAAAACAGGATATGTATACATGTATATTTCTTGTTTTTCTGATTTGTTTTAACAAACATTTCAATTTTTTTTTTATCGTACTGGCTAGCGGGTTTCTTAAATCGACTCTGGTTGCAATTGCATTCCGATTGCGAATACAATTTTTCCTCCGCCGAGTACAGTTCACGCGATTTGGGCAATAACCATGATGATTCGTAAAAATTTTTGGTTCGACTAACAGAACTAATAAATATTTGAAAAAAATTATAGGGTTCCCCAAAAGCAAAAAAAAAAAATGCATAAGTAAAAGTTTAAATGTTATAAACGAATTTTTTTACCAACATTTCAAGCTTTTTATCGGAATTTCAAGAAAATTTTAAGGTGTGCAGTTTTAAAGCCGATTTAATTTTATAATAAGTAAAATAAAGTGTAAGTTTCAAGTGGCAAAGAATTCGCGATGATTTGAAAGTTTTTATTTTTTTTTTGCATTCCACTTTATTTACTTTAATGAAACAAAATTAGTCAAATCGGTTGGAAAATTAAGGCTCTCAACTACTTTGAACAATAAATTCCAGATTGGGTACTCTGTGTAGCATTTCATTGATATACATAATTATTCATGTCTTTATCGCCATATTTTCGCATCAAATTTCATTATCAGTAACGGTTTTGCTATCATTATACAGTAGATAATGTTAATGCTTCATATTTCGTTATCTCTGTAATAATAATTTGTATTCGAATTCGGATTCAGCTTTTATTGCGCTGCCGGAACGCATTACTCTGTTGACGCCTAGGCGTTTCCCAGGAGGTATGATGGTTAGTTTTCAAGCCTTTTTAGATTTGCCACCTATTTATGTGCTAAAATCTGTATTCTGTATTCTGCAGCTGTATTCAATTTCACTTTAAATGAGAACATACCAAAGTAGAATCGTTTCATTATGAGGAGGTCATTGTCCTGTTTTGAATTTAACAAACAGTTTCTCACTCCATTAAGTGTCCGTATTGTCTACTTTTTGTAATGGACATCAATTAGTCATTAATAAATAAAAGGCCCTTTTACTGGCATTAAATGGTTTGACAAATATTTAAATGTTAAATAAGAATCAAAGTACTCGTATGTAGCTAAAACTCGCACGTTGCTTGCCGGAGCAATTTTCATTTACGTACATACATACATATGCACATTAGGGTGATCTAAAATAACTAGCGCCTAACGAATTTATGGCCTTAAAAGGACCTTTTTGTAGTCCAATTTTAAAAGGTGTCCGTGGGCATTTGAAAATTTCCATGTAAATAACATGTAAAAAATTTGTTTTCATTAAAAATGTTATAACTATTGAAAGTTTGGGATACATTTTTTTTCTAGGCATACAAAATTGTAATCGAACTGTGACGAAAGACGAAGAGCAAAATCAATTTCTTTTGCGGTAGTGCAATTACATCGCCAGCAATATCCTAATTGCAATAAACTGAATTTCATTAATAATTTTCAAGAATATTAATGTTTTAAAATGCAACAAAAAATAAATAAATAGATTAAAACTCTCTCTTCTCTGACTAATCTAGTTTATAATCAACATTTTGTATAATTTTAGTGTAAGTTTTGTTTATTTAGCATGAATATTCGCAATCATAAAGCCCTAAAACTGTACCGATATTTCTGCTTTTTTCGACTCTCATTGACTGTAAGTTTATACATTTTTGAATATAGACAATCAAATTTAGAGTAATTTTTTGGAGAATTTAATGCCCTACAAGAACTTCTTGGCAATGTTCACGGTTCAATAGTTATGACATTTTTAACGCAAACTAAATTTTTTTACATGGAAAATTTCATCGACAAAAAATCGGAAAAAAAATTTTTGCTAATGGGAGAATTTTTTTCTCAGTAAATAGGTCCTTTTAAGGCTATAAATTCGTTAGGTTGGTTATTTTGGATCACCCTAATGTACATACATACATACATACGTGGATAAGCATAAGTGAGCGTAAAATCATAAAAGTATGTTAATAGCTTAGAAGAAGCAGCATACGACTACTAAGAAATAATCAATTTTTATTTTTTTTTGTATAAAAGCGACTTAATTGATCCTTTCCGGTTTTCAAAATACTACCTACCATATACATACATACATTTTTATGAAGCGACGCGACTGCCGACCGAAAATAGAGAAAAAAAAATCAACCAAAATATTTGCATAAAATTGTATTATTTAGCAGTTTTTAGCACGCTTAGTGGCCAATATACATACATACATACATACATGCGAGGAACCAGACAAGTTACAAACATGTCTGGGGTACTATATGCACGTATAGAATACTCCTAGCATACAAATATTTGCTGCAATTTAATATCCAACTCAGCCGTCGATTTAATTTTTTGAACTATGGAATGTTTGTCTTTCAAAGTGTTGGTATCGAATGAAGTTCATCTTCATATACAATTTTTTTATGCGGACGTTGCCGAATGGAGGATTGATTCATTTGCTAAGTGCTTTAGTTCAAGTGCTCCAATTGAAATTCTATTGAATTTATGCACCATCTCATTATTATATTTGGTTTGCCATCATTTAGACACTACATACATAAATATGTACGTACACACAATCTATTGAGTGCTTTATAAACAAAAGATAAAAAAAGAGATCATTTTTGAAAGTGAAATTTGAGACACGTTGTTTCCTTGAGCTCTCAGCAAGCAAATGACCTTCACTCAAAATCTTAATTACACTACATAGATCACAGATCGTGCTAGAATTTTGTGGCAAGTGTTATTCACTGTCAGTTGCTGATCGACGAGCCTCTCTTAATTCATCAAATAAATTATACGCCCAAACCCGTACTTAAGTGTCGTTTGCCTATTCCTCTAGTCATGTTAAGTTGACATGTAGAGCGCTCAGATTAGCAACACGTGTACATGCTGTGCAAACTTGGAGTTGATTTTTATCGATGATAGCCGAGATACCTACATATCATTCTTGCTTAAGAAGCTTGCGCACACAAAGTATGACAGCAGTCAATTAAGAAAAGAAGAATACTTCGAGTTTTTGCAATACAGAAAAAAAAAAAAACGTTTCCAATGTGACATCTTTAGCTAATTTGCACTTATAATTAATAATTATATAGTTTGCTTAATATTGTATATGTATGCATTAATGTTAACATTCACATACATACGTACAAACATGTGTATAGTATATGAGTGTACGTGTGAATTTCTATGAAAACAACCATTTATCTACATACATATACATATGTATATAGCGTTGACAAGGCTAAATGTTCAAGTTATTTGACAAAGCGTCAGTGACATTAATCAATTGCCAACACCTTGTTGACCGGTTTTTTTTGGTAAACAAAAGAAATATGTACGACTGTATTGTATACTTTTGGATGCATTTGTAAACAGTTTAGGGCATATTAAGGCAATCTTGTGCAATCCGATAGTTTTATTAAATTTTGTCTAGTCCAAAACTTTTGAGATTCTGCCAAAACAAGGGGACAAACAGACCACTGGAGTAGGTAACATTGGCAACTGGGACTGCTGTGACACCAATTTAAGAGCTGACTACCTGTTTGAGTTTATTCGCTTAAATATCTTAGAAATACTGGGAAATAGGAAAAGCGCTTCTACGGGGCTCTCACTGAAAAGGTGAACGGTTAAAATAAGTAATCTAATCGATCTTGAACTAAGCTACTTATTAATAACTCTTACAGTAGGTGCTATTCAGAAGTCACTAAGCGTAATAAAAGAGGGACTCCGTGGGGGTATATGTAGCTCTTTAATGAAGCTAAAAGGATCGATGAAAAGGAAATGCACAAAAATGCCCTCGATGCCCTTGTTAAGAAGCAAAGCATTTAAACACATACAGAGATCTCCTAAGACGACCTGATGGATAACTCATGGACAGCTGCAAGGCAAGTCACGGCACCCTCTAGCCGAGGCGCATTTCTCTGGCTGCTCATCTCTGAGCACTACCCGAACCATCCACACGCAGACTGTGACTAAACAACCATGAGCAGAGAGCTGGAAAGTCGCCGGCAGCCTGTTATTTCACGATATAATAAACTGGGGTATATCTGCCTCAAAGCTTCTGGCGCTTATGTTATTCTCTTGTCGCTACAAAAGCTACTCAACCTTCTAACCTTTATAAAATCGCTATCCAGAGCAGAGTTAAGCTTGGGAATTCTTAGTGCTCTAATGGCAGGAAGTGATGGTCCTGTACATACTCAGGGTAGTAGGGAAATTGTCATACTAACCAAAGGCAGCTTTACATCCTTCCTACTAAGAGTTGCAGAGAGGATCGCGGATGATAAATGCTCTGCATAAATACGCAAGTACTTCGATGTTCAAGGTAGGTTAGAAGACCCCATCAGCATCAACGTTTTTTCTCCAGAAAAAGGAAAATACACAAGCTATATTTGGGGGTAGTTTTCGACTGCATACTTTTTTCAAAATGTTAGGCCAATCTGGCTCTCGTTGCCCCAGATGTAGAGTGATCCTCATATAAATCCATTTAATCTAAGAAACAAGTTTATTTTTAAGAATTTAGAATTAAGTTCGTATGATTATTTACGCGAAATGCCGGAGGCCAGAAAACATCCATTTTCTTAATTCGTTTTAATACTTTCTAAACAGTTCCAGAGACTGTATTTTTGTAAGATCTCTAAAGAAAAACTGAAAATTCCCAAACTACTCTATCTCAAGTAAGTAATTGATGAGTAATGAAACTAAAAATTCAATATGGAAAAAAATGTTTTGAATTATTGCAACATTTTATTATTAATTTTCTAATGCAAATATTATTATATTTTTTTTAATTACATACACAATTAAGTATAATAATAAAGTTCAAACCTAGTACGTATAATTTTCGAGTATCTATAAAGTAAGTTCGTAAGTATAGTTCAATAAAAAATATACACACTGTAGAAAACATAACGATTATTATATGTAATTGTTTTTAACAAATTTAAAACTAGAGATGTGATTTATTTAATATTGCATCCAGTGCCATGGCGATGTACTTATCTGAATATGTATGTGTATTTGATTATCTATGATTATGTAGTATACTCGTGTCCTCGTTTAAAGTGTAGTTTATAAAAAAAAAAAAAATCACATTTTGACAGCATCACAAAAATTCGCAAACGATTTTCCTTCCTTAACTAGGCTCTTAATACTACTTTGAATTCCACTTTCGGTTGTATGTATCTCAATAAACGAGTATTCGTTCATTTGTCCGCATGCGAGGAGCTACATATTTACATAGCTCTTGTTTGCTCCCAGCGTCTGCAATTAGTGTCCAGTTAGCGCGCCGTTTTGGCCAAACGCATAGGCATAAACGGTCTTCACATTACCAGCTGTATGATTCCTGAACTGCTGATAGTATTCGCTCTCTTCACCATGCTTTGCCAGAGGCCGGTACTCGTATTTGTTAGTAGTACTCGCTGGCTTGCGTGTAGTTGTCGAGCCAAAAACTGTGAATTGCTCTTTGTACTTCGCAAAAAATGGATGACTGAAGGGGTCGTCGCGGTACGGATTTGTTGTTCGGATGGTTGAAGATCCGGTAAATTTCGGTTTAAGTGTTGTAGTAGTTGCTTCCGCAGCACTCGTTGCATACAAAGCGGGTCTTCGCGTAGTTACACGGGCAGTGTTTACACTTTTCGTTGTCGTCGCTGGCTGTATTTTAGTCGGAGCCCTAGTTGTGGCTGTGGTGCTATTTTGTGATTTTACTTTAAACCTTGTAATCGGAGGAGTCGTGGTAACCTTCCTGGTTGTATATGGCACTCTTGTTGTTGGGAAAGTATTTGGAATACCTGATGTAGGACGCTTCGTTACCTTCGTAGTTATCGGCGTTCTTACAGTAGTTCCTGGCTGCCGTGTAGTCGTGGAAGGATAGTAATCTAGGTGCATTTTTGTCGTCGTTGTTGTACGTTTTGTCGTCCTTTGAGTGGTACTTGTAGTCGGTCGTGTGGTAGTTTTTGCTGCAACGGGAGTTCTCTGTGTTGTAGGCGATCTCACTGTTGTTGAAGGTCTTCGCGTGGCAGCTATATTTTCACGGTTGGAGGCAGTTTTAGTAGCGCTGACAATATTTCTTGAGGTAGTTTTTGTGGCGGTTTGTTTGGTTGTTGGTTTTCTAGTTGTTGTGGTGGTTGTCGCTGGTTTATTCGTGTTGCCAGAAGTCTTGGTGGTCTTTCGTTGGGTTACTGGTGAACCATTTATGGCCAGTGTTTTAGGGATTGGAGTTGTTGTTGTGGTAGTCCATGGGGTGTTCTGTCGTTGTGAAACACCTGCATTTTTTGTGGTCAGCGGTTTTTTGGTTGACATTGTTGTTCCAGGCCTGTTCGTAGTGGCTGCAGTCTGAGCGGTTTTTCTTTGTTGGGATATTTCTGTATTTCTGTATCTTGTGGTCAATGGTCTTTGCGTTGTAGTTACCGTTGCTTTTTTGGAGTTGCTGCTTTTTGCTGTAACTGGCCTCTGGGTGTTTGGCAGTTTTGTGGTCCTTGGCGTAGTAAGAGGAGCACTTGTTGTAGATTTCGTTGTTATTTGTGACTTAGTTGTGCTTGTCGTTTTTTGAGTGGAAGCAACTTTTGTAGGTTGCACTTGTGGTTGGTGTTGCCAGTTCCAAGTTGGGGCTGCGCTCGGCCGTTTCGTTGTGGATATTCCAGCGAGTGTTGCTGGCTGATTTTTATTCTGCGCTCCGACAGTTGGCTTTTGTATAACTGTTGCCATTGTTGTAGGTTTCTTTGTTGTAATTGTGGGCAGACTCGAATAATATTGCAATTGAGGGTTTTGGGTAATCGATTTGGCAGTTGTGGTAGGTGTCGCATACGCAACAACTGCTGGTTTAAGCGCGGTGGTTGGAGCTTTTGATTTCAAAGGGGTCGTACGGAATACGTCACTGTCCACATAGGTTCTTGTTGGATGCAAATGCAGCTTTGTTTTTTCCGTGCTACTCGGTGTGGTATGCGATTGTTCTCGATCAGGTTTCGCGCTTGGCTTGGCACTGAAATCTTGCGTTGTGGCTGAAAATTTTTGAAGAAAAGAATTACTTTGATATTGGGCGCTTTGTTGCTTAATTTTTGGGAGAGCCGTTGATGTTTGTTTGCTGGCTGTTTCAATGTGAGTTAAGGTTGCCGACTGGTCGATGAATTTAGTTAAAAATGGGTTGGAGTTAAAGTTTAGTTTCTGAGCTTTCTGCGGCGATGTATCAGCTTGTTCATATTTACTAAGAAAGGGGTTAGAAGCCTGGGAAGCGGGTGTTGATAATGAAGTTGCAATGTTAGTACGGGTTTTGGTGCTAGGCGTGTGAGGTTCCTGACTCGGTTCAAGCGGGATGATGGCAGCTTGCGATTTTACTGGCGTTGTACGGAAGACATCACTGTTCACATAAGGCTTTGCTGGATAGATATGTAGCTTCTTTTTTTCTGTGCTACTCGGTGTTGTACGCGATTGTTGCCACTCTGGTTTTATAATAGGCTTGGCAATCAAACTTTGCGTTGCGGTTGACAAATTTTGAAGGAAGGGATTATTTTGAAACTGCGCGGTTTGTTGCCTTCTTTCTGGGGAGGCAGTTGAAGTTTGTTTGCTGGCTGTTTTAATGTTAGTTAAGCTTGCCGATTGGTCAATGTATTTAGTTAAAAATGGGTTGGAGTTAAATTTAAGTTTCTGAGGCTTTTGCGGCGCTGTATCGGTTTTTTGGTAATTAATAACAAAGGGGTTGGAAGCGTATGAAGCGGGTGTTGATATAGAATTTGCTATGTTAGTATGGATTTTAGGCTTCGATGCTTCCTCGCTAATAGGTTGAAGGGTTTGCATAAATTGGCTTAAAAATGGATTATTAATATATTCTGTTTTTGATGAAACTGCTTCAATGCCGTTGAACGCATAATTGGAAGCGGTAGTTGCACTAGGCGCCGTAGTAGTAGGCACACATTTTAAAGCACTGTACTGATTTAAAAATGGGTTATTTACAAATGGATGATTTAATTCGCCCTTGTGTTTGATTTTCTTGGGTAAGCTTATTGGCATTTGCTTAATTCTGTGGGTCTGACCCACATGAATTGGTTTCTCACTCTGTCCAACTCGTTTGACTTGATGTGCCTTCTGCAATTCGTTGCTATCGAAGCAGGAACTTATCTGCTCCAATTGCTGATTGCGGCAGTTCCGATTATAAACTGTCCACGCAGTGAATCCATCGCCGGATAGACGTGTATGCTCCTCGTAAATGGTTTTTACGCATCGAACATCATCGGTTATGTCGTTGTCTAACAGTTTGCTGCAGGAAATCAGACAGGCTTTGCCAGCGCCGCCATCGTGTGAGCACCAGTACAGGTCACTTATTTGGAAAAGGCCATGATCCGCACTGCCATCCGTATTGAGGCGTCCCACAGCGGCCGTATTCAAACTCGACTCGTGCTCGGCTATGCAAACCCAGGTGGGCACCTCTTCCATAGGCATTTTGTGCTTAAAGTACAGATCCTGCGCTAACTCACATTTCTTGTATATTTTGCCTTTACCCACTACTGCGTTGGCTTGTTGTCCACTTCCAATGACTGGGCCAGCGTGAAGTGCTTTCTGTATGTCGTCTGCTGGAAAGCATTTAGCCAAACGCTCCAACTGTTGATTGCGGCAATGTCTGTTGTAAACAACCCAAGCTGTGAAGCCGTCACCTGAAATTTGCGTGTGTTCCGCGTGTATAGTTTTGATGCACTGCACATCATCGCTGATATCCGAGTCCACCAATTTGTGACACGGAATGTTGCATGCCTTACCGCCGGAATCCTCGTGGCTGCACCAGTAGAGGTCACTGATCTGGAAAAGTCCGTGGTCTGCGCTGCCATCTGCATTTAGTCGTCCCACAGCTGCCGTGTTGAAGCTAGATTCGTGCTTAGCAATACAAACCCAGGTTGGTATATCATTCAGACGCATCCCATGTTTGTAGTACAGCTCCTGCGCCAGTTCACACTCCTTGTAAATCTTACCCTTCGCCACCGCCAGCTCAGTTGTCGTTGTGCGCTTACTGTTGTCATCGTTGTAGCCACCCATCTGCGTTGTAGTTAGAAATTGTTCGGTCTTACTTAACTCATTGCTCTCGAAGCAGGCGGAGACCTGTTCGATCTGCTGATTGCGGCAATTCCTGTCGTACACCGTCCACGCTGTGAAACCATCGCGCGAGATGCGCGTATGCTCCTCGTGTATTGTGCGGACGCACTTGACGTCGTCGGTTATGTCGGAGTCGAGTAGCTTCGCGCACGGAATGTTGCACGCCTTGCCGCCAAAGTTGTCGTGTGAGCACCAGTAGAGATCGCTTATCTGAAAGAGGCCGTGATCCGCACTGCCGTCACCGTTGAGGTGCCCAACTGCTGATGTGTCGTAGTTGGACTCATGTTGGGCGATACACACCCAGGTAGGTATATCCTGCATTGGAAACTTGTGTTTAAAATACAATTCTTGAGCTAATTCACATCGTTTATAAACTTTACCCTTGTGTTGTTGTGTATGGTGTGGCTGTGTGTAAGTGTTTGGGGATGTGTATTGTTGAAGTGTAGGTGTGGATTTGGGTGGGACGCCACTGTGTTTGAGGAAGGGGTTGACTTGGTATGCGTGTGCGTGTGGTGTTTGGGAGGAGAATGTTACGGGTGAAGTAAAAACGTGCGTTTTAGCTGGCTGTTGAAGCGTTGAGTATTGATCCTTGAAGCACGAGGATACAAATTCATACTGCTGGTTGCGGCAGTGTTGGTTGTAGACGCTCCAGGCGGTGAAGCCATCACCAGAAAGACGCGCGTGTTCACCGTGTATGCGCTTGACGCAACGAACATCGTCGGTTATGTCGTTGTCCAGGAGCTTGGTACACTGCAGACCACAAGCCTTGCCACTACCGTAGCGATCATGCGAACACCAGTAGAGATCACTGACTTGGAAGATTCCATGATCGGCGCTGCCATCCGCATTCAGACGTCCCACGGCTGAGGTGTCGAAGTGAGATTCATGCTGCGCGATACAGACCCATGTAGGAATTTGGTCCATTGGCGTTTTATGCTTGTAGTAGAGTTCTTGCGCCAACTCGCAGCGATCATAGACCTTACCACGTTTATGTGTTGAATAGCTACTGCTGATGGAGTTCGAGTGTACTGCCAGCGCGGTGGGTGTGTAGAATGGGGCTGGGGCACTTGCGAAGGGGGTGTTTGCAACTGGTTGTTGCGCCGAAGGCAGTACGCGTTGATTCGAAAAACAATCCTGTACGTAGGCCTCGACACCATGGCGACAAAACTGTTGGTATGCATTCCACGCGTTATAGCCGTCTCCGGATAGACGTTGATGCTCGTCGTAAATAATACGCAAGCAGCTCAGATCATCGGTCAAATCAGCGTCACGCAGCCGTTCGCAGGGCAGATTGCAGGCGAATCCCTTGCCAGGTGGCGAACACCAGAACACATCGCTAATCTGGAAAAGCCCATGCGAGCCACCAGCCAGACCTCCCGCGTAGGCCTCTGTGTTGAAATCGCTCGAGTGCTGAGCGATGCAAGTCCATGTTGCGACCTCGTGCAAATCCAGGCGGTGTTTGTTGTGCAGAACTTTCGCCAATTCGCAACGATCGAACACCTTGGCATTGACGCTGGCACCAAAAGCTAGAAGGAAGCAAAAAACCCGCGCGAAAAACTCGCCAACGAACAGAGAGTTGCGTGCGCGCGCAGCTGCCGTACGATACGCTATCATTTTGAAAGTGGCACAAAAGAGCGTGGAAGCAGCTTTTAATATTCCCGTAAAGCGGCCACGAACGCCGTGCGTATGCTCGCGCGCACAGTCGCCTTTGGCGCAAAATCTTTCACCGATTTCGACTAGTTTCTTTAGGTGTTAGGCGACTCTTTTCACTGCACACATAAATAAGCTAATAAATTCAGGGTAATTTGACGAAGTGGGTTAGCTAATTTTAATCGCCCCAAAGCTTATTATGTTTTATTGGCTACTAATGTCAGGGCTTCTTTCTTCACGTTTGCTTGTTTTCACGCTCGCGTCTCGTTCAATACTGATTTCAGTGATGTCTCGCGTTTATATGTCCAGCTCACTTTGCGCATCGCATCGCATCGAACTGCCATCTATCTGTCCAGCCATTCAGGTACACTCAGATTATTTATAATTCAGCCACGCTCAGAGTTTGAGCCACGGAGTTGTTCGTATTTGTGGCTAGCCAGCAGTCAAACAGGCGTTCAATTAGGCAGTCAGTCAATCCAATCAGTGGGGCAGCATTGTAGAGATGCGCGCAATGCGCATAAACACAGAATAACAAAAAAAACAAAAAAAAAACTGGTTAATCAGCAAGCGAACGCGCGATAGGCGAACTGTCTGCTTTATCAATTGATATCTTGATATGGATATCGTGTTGTTGGCGTGGCCATTGATTTATTCATATTGCATAATATCGTTGATTCTTTTCTATTTGCTTTTATTCGTCGATATGGGATTAAGGGAAGACATTGAATTTGGACTTGTGTACATTTAATTTTGAAGTTTGGCTTTTCAGTACTATCGAAAGAAATTTTAGTTTATTTTGTATTATTTATTTTTATTCGCACTCTTTAATTTTGATGTTATCCAATTCAAGTTTGACGCCAAAGTATGTCAGTTAAAAGTATACTTGCGTAAAACCTGATACTACGATCATTATTTTCACTTAGAGATAACAAAAGTAGGTAATGTATTGGTAACAGAGTCCATAACTGGAATTTTACAAATTTACAAAAATTTACAAATACTAAATCTCAAAGCACTGACTTACCACTGAACTCAACAAAACAGTTTGTGCTTTTACTATCTTCATTTTAGAGGCCTGATTAGAGTTATGCCGATTTTCCACTAGGCATTGAAATGACAAAAAATTATGGCACGATAATTTTTTAATGCCCAACTTTGTCATTTGTCATTTTAGCCATTCAATGCCTAGTGGAAATCCAGCATTAGACGTATTAGGAAAATCTAATAACAAGGTAGCGAAAAATGTGGGGTTCTATTCAGAGGAGTCTTGAGTAGAAACCATCCCTTTCGGGGTATTTAATTAGACTCTCAAGCGGTTTTACTTACTAAGTCAGATTAGCCATATTTTTTTGATACTTGACCAGATCTTCTTAGAAACCATCGATGCAAGATGTATTCGATAACGAGACGCTTGCATTACGCGTACAGTTAAGTTAAGTTAGGAGAGCGTGGGTGGTATGTTCCATACTTTTAATCGGGGACAGATTTGTCCAATGTCCATTGTGAGTGTCCTCTTTAAGTGAGTGTCAGGAGGATACACGTACCTATAATCGAAAGAGTAGCTTTAAGTCATTGTTATACTGAACCGATTACTATCTCTGATGAAGGCGAGGAGATCCAACAGCTCCACCTCCCCTACCTCGCCCGGACTGTTGAAGAAGCGTGAACTTAAGTACTCGAGTCGCTTTGTCTGTAGACCTGGACATCGATAAACTCACTGGTCAATTGACTCTTCCTCATCCTTATCATGGCAACCTCTGCACATATTACTTGTTGGTATTTTTCTCCATGGAAGCATTGATGCTATAGGATAGTGTCCTGTGATGACGCCGGTAAGGACTCTTAGTGCAGATCTATTGAGCTTCATTATATCCCTTGACTGGCGCCACTTTGCGCTAATTGGCTCCTGATAAGAAGTTCAGGCTCATTTAGAAATACTTTAAGCAACTACTTTTGAGGTGTTGTTGTTGAGAAGAATGTTTGTAGACAATCCTAAATCGGGCGGTCTACTCTGTATTGCGATTCGAAACTCAATGCGATTCGGAAGGCGACATGGTCTTATACAAATGCATAGTGCAATTATTCGAATTATATTGATTTGCTTTTCGAATCGCAATACAAAGTAGACCCCAGTTCAGATGCTTGAAGTGAATATACAGTATCGGTCATATCTATAGCACACCATTTCAAAGTGATATTGTGTGCAACTTATGTTTATTTATTTGTTTTTGAAATATTTCAATTAAAATACAGTTCTTTCTCTAACAAACCCCATATAAACCCAAGTTTAACAATTTGTAGAAAACTTCAAAAAAGTTCAACAAATTTTCACCTAAATTTCAAACTTTTTTCTCGGAAGTGTTTGAATTTTTCTGAATACACAGTTTCATAGCCCAATCAATTATAGTCTGACAATGTGCAAGTTTCAAGTGACTGAAAGTTACCGGTGATTTTTTAGAATTTTTTTCGCCAAAGGTGTTGCGGTTTTCTTCCATATACATATAAATTGAGTTTATTCATTATATGGAAGCCAATTCGACAAAAAAAATTCTAAAAAATTAACGGTAATTCGTAGCTACTTGAAATTTGCACATTATCAGACTAAAATTGCAGTGGCTAAAAAACTGTGTACTCAAAAAAATTCTTACACTTCCGAGAAAAAAGTTTGAAACTTAGGTGAAAATTTGTTGCCATTTTTTGAAGTTTTCTACAAATTGTTAAACTTGGGTTTATATGGGGTTTGTTAGAGAAAGAACTGCATTTTAATTGAAAATTCTTAAAAATAAATAAATAAGCATAAGTGGCACACTATATCACTTTGAAATGGCGTGCTATAGATATGACCGATACTGTATGTATGTGTCTCAAGTAGTTCGCTAAATTTTCCTTACTCCACAGCGTATTTCCTCACCGTACTATATTTATTTCAGTTTGAATGCTCTTCAGTATTAATACTTTCACGAAAGTGTTTTCTTCCATATTTATTCTAAGCGGATTATTAATCTAACAAATCTAAGAACCGCTAATAACCAATCTTTTGCTAATCGAAGACGAGCAATATAACCAGTTTGCACAACAGTCGCATTCATTATCGCCTTTGACTCTATGCCGTCTGCCGTAGAAAAGCTCACAATTCAACGCTCAACACTTAAGCTGTAAACACTTCATATGCATATGCATATGCATACTTGTACGTACATTTACCTCTAAATAAATGAATTGATTCATAACTTATGACAGACAGCTCTCAGCGGTAAGCTTCTAGGACGGTTGAAAGCATTACTACTAGTTAGCAGTTGATTTGTGTTATAAGTCGTCTTCCGAACTAACAGTTATAATNGCATATGCATATGCATACTTGTACGTACATTTGTATCTAAATAAATGAATTGATTCATAACTTATGACAGACAGCTCTCAGCGGTAAGCTTCTAGGACGGTTGAAAGCATTACTACTAGTTAGCAGTTGATTTGTGTTATAAGTCGTCTTCCGAACTAACAGTTATAATTAATTGAGGTGTGCTAGCGAGTATGAAGGCATACTACATACATATGTACATATGTATGTATGAGCGCGAGTGTGTCTTTGTTAGTTGGTGATGATTAGCTACCCATTGGGGGGGCCAGCGATGCCAATCAGTCACTGAAGAGCAGCACGAGTGCTGGATTTGAGCCTGTGCCGCTACATCTCTGAGACACAAATATTGTTGCTACAGCAAATCGTCGCAATAGGCTGAGTGTTGTGCGCGTGCGTATGTGCTGTGGGTGTTCAATTAGGTACATACTTATGTACATAGGCCACTTTTATTTGGCTGCACGTCGGCAGCCGCCTAACCAGTCTAATTTCAAGTGGCATTCTAAGCATGTTGATGCGAATTCTTTAGCTTTAGTAAAATCTTAAGTATCGATACTTTCGATTTGTTGTGAATACTTCCACCCTCTACCTCTTTCTCTATCCTAGCATCTACCGTCCGTCCGTCCGTCCGTCTGTCTATGTGTAGGCTAGTTGGTTGTTTAACAAAAATTAGATTTTATTTCCGCACAAATTATGAATTAATGACTTGTATAAGCTAGTAATTTGCAGTTGAGCATCTAATCATTTTTCTTATTATTGCGCCTGCGTTTAGCTAATTTGTTTGTTTTCTGAGTTGTTGTTAAGTACTAAAGCGCGCTTCATTGTTTTATGGCTTAACAAATATACCTACATACCTACATACGTACATAGTGTGTTTGATTTATTTCGACGTTTTTCATTAAATAGCGGGCGTTCGCTGCAAATCGACTAAGGGCCGTTTTCTGAAGTAACCTTTAATTTTAAAGCTTACTTTTTAGTTAAAGGTTGGATTAAAAATAAATCCGTGTCTAAAGTTAGGTATTGCTGTTATCGGTTTTCGACGTATGTATGTTTCTTGGTTGTAAACCAATTTAAAACCGATAATAAAATGCTTTACTTTAGACACAATCATAAATTTTTATGCAGCATTTAAATATAAAGTGAGTTTTAAAGTTACAGGCTACTTGCGAAAATGGCCCTAAGTACGCTTTGTTGCTTAGCGCAGATAGTTAACGCCCTCTCTAATACCGTTTCTTCTCTTTACTTTATATTGATCATTTTGCTCACGTTAATAGTACTGAGTCGATTAAGGCAGGCGAGAGTGGCGATACCACGCATGGTAAGTATCGTTGAAACATTTAAATATATGCCAATTTGACTTGCAAATTTCTTTGATGTCTACCTATCTTATCTAATTTCGCATTGAAGGGAATAGCGTGAAGAGAGAAATGTGTTATTAATATCAATTGGGGTGTTCACAGTTCGTTCCAAATAGTGTCTCAAAATGTAGACGTCTACATTTTAAGACGTTTTCTAACCGTAAAATCTGTGGTGTTGTTGTTTCCCATACAAAATTGGAAAACGACGCCGTCTACATTTTGTCACACTCAAAGGTATGTTTTTTACGCGTCTACATTTTGCAACCTCGCAGCAGGGTTGCATTATGGCAATACTAATCACATTTTTTTTTATTTATTGGGCACGTTTTCTGTATTTGCATTTAATTTGAGCGCAATTTCAGAGGAAAAGAAACAAATCAAGGAAAAGAAATAACAAATATTACGAATTGGTAATTAAGTTAAATAATTACAATTTTTCGGAAACAAAATAGAAAGGCGACATATAAAAAATGCACGCAGGGAAGAAATGTCTGGCAACACCAACACAAGGCAACACAAGGGGTGCTCACAGTTTGATGCTAAAGATGTCTCAAAATGTAGACGTCTACATTTTCAGACACAATTTGGAACGAACTGTGAACACCCCAAATGTATAATGTGATAATTTGCACTGGCTAGCCTTGAATAGTTCAAAGGCAAATCACCGGAGGTCAACCCTCTCCACAAATACATATACATACATATGTAGCACAACAAGGCCAATAAACCTTTGCATTATACATATTTACTAATATTTTGGATATTAGATGAGTGTATAAAATGACGTACAAGAATTGGCTAAGAAATTTTCTTGAGTCAAATTTCCTTAAGGCAGTACGCAGTTCTTAAGAAATTTATTACGCTTTCTACTACGGTTTTTGTAAAGTTTTTTGTGAAAAAAAGTACAAGGCAACCCAGGTTTGCAACAGAAATATATGCCCGTTCCATTATTTCTTGAGGAAAGAGTGAGGCAACAGGCTGATGAAGTATCAGATGATGTCAAAATGCCTTGGACACACACACACGAAATAATGGCGAATTTTTCTTGACCGGTTTCTTGAGAGCTGCATACAGGCCTTTAGAGATGTTGGTCATATGTACATACATACATACATACATATATGAAGGAGTCTCTATGAGATTGTGGGGATTNGAGATGTTGGTCATATGTACATACATACATACATATATGAAGGAGTCTCTATGAGATTGTGGGGATTGTCTTTGCGCGATGCTTTATCATAGCGAAATTATTTTTTAAGTAATTCCGAAGAAACAATTTAATGACTAAAGATTATGTTAATTATTCAAACTCTTTTTGCTGCCTATGTCGTAACTAATTCCGCGAATCTAATTCTACGATTGCTTCGATTATCGTTGCTAATGGGATACAGCTAGCAGCTGCAACGTGTATCTTCAAAACCAAACAAAATAAATTTTTTTTTAGGATAGGGAGACACGTGTTATGCAAAATTTGGTTGTAAAATTTGGATGTGTGATGCAAATCGATTTTTATTTTTACATTATAACATGTTAAGGTATGTATAGTAAATGTATCCGCAATCGCAGCTCTAAATTGTAGAAAGCATTGGAATGATGTAAAGGTTGTGTAGTTTTACCTGCCTACACTTAAGTAAGGCTGGATTTTAGCTAAATTTATTATTTTTTTTTATGGCAGCCTATTCATTCTTCTCGAAATTAGATAGGAAAGCAAAGCAAGTGGCTCTGGTCGTAAAGTGTCAGCACATGCGTGTCTAGGCACTAGTGTTACTGTGGACAGTTGTAATTTTGAAGTTGTTGAGGGCATCGTATACTTGAGGACCACTATTAACACTGATAATAATATCAAACTCGAAATTAAACGAAGAAAATGCTCAACTCAAGAAGTGCTACTCTGAAGTATAAATTGAGCGGTAAATTCTAATCCCGATGAACCAAAATCACACTTTATAAGTCTCTCATCATGAACGCCCATCAAATGAGTTGGGGACGGGACATATATGGTAATTTACGCATTTGTGAGGGCGAGGACCGCAGACGATGGAGCGATAAGCCATAAGACCTTTACAACAACATCGATGTGGTGCAACGTATCAAACGACGACGGTTCCGCTGGCTTGGTCATAACGTACGAATGGATGCAAAGTGACAGAGAAAGCACAAGGTCTGCTCTGAGTTGGAAAGATCAGATGAAGAGGGACCGAGTAAAGGTGTTTCTAATAGATGCCAGCTAGCGAGAACGCGCCCAAAACCGCTTATATTTAGTACCAATGTGGAAGAAATAGGCGTATAAGAGCGTTGACGCGCGAAACTGCAGTCTACGGCTTAAACTTATTTAGCAGTAAAGTCATGAATAGCACGTGAAGCCCCTCTGATATAAACCGGTCGAGTTAATTGCAATTGTACTTGGTATCTCTTAACCCGGCATTTGGCGTGTGAATTTTTGTAACCGCTTACGATATGTAGTTGGGGTTTCATAAACAACATTTATTAGAGGTACTTAGGACCATTTTTGCGNCTGCCGTATGAATTTTTGTAACCGGTTACGATATGTATGTAGGTGGGGTTTCATAAACAACATTTATTAGAGGTACTTAGGACCATTTTTGCGAGTGCGAGTGTAACTCTTTTTGTCCTTTGAACTAAGTTTCATTATATATAAACCGATTTCAAATTTAACTTTTATTTTCAGAGAACTATTTATAATAAAGTTTGGAGAGGAATTCCTCTTTAGAACATTTTAATACCTTAACTGATAGCAGAATGAATCTTTTCTCCAATCTTTAGGAAGAAGTTTAACGAATATTGAAGTTGAAAATTCATAATGTGCTGAGGTGAACTGAAACTTACTGAATTTTGTTGAAATGAACAGCGGCGTTGTAATGACATACTTATGAGGTCATCACCCCTGGATATATGAGAAAATTTTGTTAAAAAAATTAAGTTAACTTAAGAGGTGAAAATATCGTAATTTCGCATGCAATAAACTTCTTATATAATAGACTTTATGCGGATTCGTTGTAGAGAAGTTTGACTGTACGACGTCTATTTTTTCACATCGAAATTTAGGAAACTAATACGGCTATGTACAGCTAGTGACGTTGAAGACAAGGTTCAGCTCCGTACAAATTGGGAAGGACCTCTTCGCGCCGTTTGATACCAAACGAGGTTTTGGACAAGGCGACTTTTTCAATCTGATGCTGGAAAGCGTAATTACGACACCATATATACCATATACATATAGCAAAAGAACGATGTTGCTGGCGTATGATATCGACATCGTCGGTCTGAAATAAAGGTACGTAACCGCAGCATTTTCCAGTTTGGCAAAAGAGAGAGGTTGGTCTAGCGGTGAATGAAGACAAGACGAAGTACCTTCTGGCAACATGTCCACTCGTTTCGTGACACACTTCACTGTTGACAGCTATAACTTTGACGTAGTGAAGGACTTTGTCTACCTAGTATCCAGCATAAACACCACCAATAACGTCAGCCTGGCGATCAAGCGAAGAATAACTCTTGCCTGGCAAGTGCTGCTTTGGGCTCGGTAGGCCCTCTCTCGACGAACAAAAATTACGCTCTACAAATCTCTCGTCATGCCCGTTCTTCTATATGGTGCAGAAACATGTACGATGTCCGCCCTCGGGATGAGCAACTGGCGGAAATTCGTACAGCGGAGAGGCAATCGGAGAAGATTTTTGGTCTCGACCCAAACCGACAAACGGTTGTAGTGCCAAATAAGAAGATACTGAAACTACTTTGAGGTCCATGAATGCCGCCCGAACCAGGATTATTAATAAACTAAAGTTTTTTGTGTTCAGCAGGGATCACACACTTTGTACATTTGTAGAGATTTTGCCATTTTCACCGTTACGGAGTTGTGTTGTTTGGAAAGTTATTATTGAGCTCAACTCATTCTCGATAAAACTTTCTAGACAACACCACACTGTGACTGCCAAATTTACAAATAGGGTGATCCTTGCTTAAGAAATTCGTTAAATTTCGCCACCGAGTCACTTTACTCATTCCATAAAAAATATATGCAGTACATATACTTCTTCTGTTAAAACTAAAATTATAAGTTGTTTGCAATCGGTTGTGGAATTATCTAAAAATTTGTTACTAAGAATTTTCTATAAAAAGTCAATAGCTCATGTTACCTTAGGGAATTTCTTGCGATGTTTAAATCAATTAACAAAGTTGTGAAGAAATTCATTTTAATTAACACAAGTTAATTGTTCTTAGTTTGGTAAACAAAAATAGTAAAAGCGTTTATTCATTTACCTGCTACCCTTAAATTAAATTGACAAATTCTTGTTCATGCCAGTCCCATAATTTCTAGGTGTTATCTTATCTCTCCTTATCTTCTATTATCTTCCAAAATATCACGATGTAGAGAGCATTCTTGCCACTCGCCCAAAAATATATTCTTTCACCACTAATAGAGCTCACACTTACCAAGGCACGTTGTTAGATCCAAAGCGCCTGCGTATAGGCAACCATTCTTTCGTTTTATCACATTCGCCAGCTTGTCCACGCAAAAGCATTCGTTGTCGTGCTCCGGACCAATGTCGTTGATGAAATTCTCACCGATTGAGTAGCGAAAACCCGGTATGCCCTGATATTGTATGTCGCTCTGATAGAACAATTCCACCGAACGACAGATATCCGCGCTGAAGATGTACATTGAATCACCGCGTTTGCGGAATGGCGGATACGACGAAGCGTCAGTGCCATTTATTTGATTGCACATTGAAGTCTCGCCCTCCGAACCATTTAGCCACACCTGCAAATTATGTGAATCGTCCAATTTTTGTATTTCCAAGACGCGCCGGGCATCACCCTTACCGGTGTGCACCTCGTACACCTCTTTGCCTGTGCCGTTTTTCTGTAACATCAAAAAATGAAAAAAACAATGAACAAAGAAAAACATAACCATCGGCCCTTGAAGCATGCAAATACTACTGTAATTATAAGTACTCACGTGATTGAAGAACGAAAACGCCAAACTGCCATCACTCATTTCGCGTATTGTCTTCGAGCCGCCTTCTTTGATCTGGTTGCAGATGGCCTTGGCAATGCCATTCGGATTGATGCAGAAGCGCACGCCGTCAAAGAGGAATTCGCGCACTGTTGTATCGAGAAACATTGACTTCGGATCATTGAAGACAGCCTTCAGATTCGCATTCAAGTGGACCAGCAGCAGCGATAAGCCCGGATCGTTTTCCGAAATCTGCAGCACCGACTGAAATTTATATCGATTAAATACATACATACAGGTGTATGCGTGTGCCGCATGATTATACAAAACTTAATTAGTAGATATTTATTGCGTTTTTTAGTACATATGTATTTCAAAAGTGAGCAGAACCACGCCAAGCTCGAGCTTTATTACTTCTAAATGCCTCATTTTCATGCTTAAATATTTACAGTTTCATTTCCGATCAAAGCGTTTAATTACCAAGCATTCAATCTACCGAGCACCGCAACCAAAGCAAACGAGAGTAAATATGTAAGCATTGGGGGCGGGGGGCATAAGTGTGGGTTGGGGCAGGGGCGCGCAAGCGTGTTAATTGCAATTTCAATGTAGTAAAAAAGCATATACTTAATATTTTAATTACGGTATAGAATTAAACGATTTCTCGCATTTAAGGCGGGATTTGAGTGTGATAGCCTTTGAAACAAACATTTCCATGTTTTTATATATGTATGTAGGTATATATGTATGTATGTACGTATTTTTTATGCAAAGACAACAACTTGACATGCGTCCAACAAATGCTATAGGCNTACATTTCCATGTTTTTATGCAAAGACAACAACTTGACATGCGTCCAACAAATGCTATAGGCGATTTTAGCAATTATTAGTTGTTTATTTTTTTTTTTCAAATAATTTGTAGTTAACTATACGTGCTTGAAACAAATGGATACGCCAATCAAGGGTATCCACTTGGGAATCAAAGTTTCACATCTATGACATTTGTAGGTAATATGTATGTATGTATGTATGTATGTATATAGAAATGAAGATGTCAAAGTTTTTGTATGTGAGTATGTAATTAAAATTAATCAGGACGGCTGACAAGCAGGTAACTGTGTTTTCGGGTGACAGCTGAACTAGAAAACTTGATGAACTTCATCAACTAAAAAGCAGAGAGTCTCGTCAACCACTTACTTTTACATCATTTAATATATCGACGAATAGGCTGTGTAGCCACTTGTAGGGTTCTATACATTTTTTTACAAAATCAGCATAAAAAGTAAAATAAAAAATGATATTATATAATTTTTGTAATTTTCAGAGTATTCTTAATTTGTTGAGTGTCAAAAAGTTATGTTCCGGATCTGATGCAGTTATGTTTCCGGATCTGATTCTTGAGTTATGCTTCTTCTGAAGAGGGTGAGCGAAGTACTATTTTTTTGAGGCAACATTAATGTATGCATCCGGAATAATACTTATGTAAGCATGTATGCACTTATAAATGAGAGTTAAAGCGAGAAAAGAATAGCTTCAACCAGAGAAAATGATAAATAGGATATCTTAATAAAGCGAACTTCATAGAAAATTTGAGGGGCTGAGTAGGATACCCGGTTATCTATGTAGGTACATATCGACTGCTGAGTGGAAGATCGACCTATCTCGGCAGCCAGTTCGAAAACGCCCTATCTCAAAAAACTTTTCAAGAACGCCCCATTTCAGAATTTAATTGAAAAACACCCTATCTCAAAATTCGGTTCAAAAACGCCCAACCTCACTTCAAAATGTATTGAAAATATGCTGATATAGGGCGTTTTTGAATCGGCAGCTGAGATAGGACGTTCTTGAAAAGTTTTTTGAGAGAGAGCGTTTTCTATTGGCTGCCGAGATATGTAGGTCGATCTTCCACTCAGCCATCGATATATAGCTTCATAAAAAACATCACAGCTAAAGTTTTAACTTATAGAGTCGAAGTTTATTTTAAAACTAACAATTTATTCTTGACCCGATTCCATCATATGTATTTTATTTTTAGTTTTTTTTTGTATTTAAATTACTCCTGCACTTATTTTCTTTATTGGCTATTTTCAACAAAATGGCCAAGCGAAACATATCCATTTAAAATGTCGGTATATGTACATATATTTAAAACACAGACATAGTAGTCAAGTAGATACTATTAAGATGTAAATTAGGTTATTTTTATTTATCACAATTTGCATTTGCACATTTTTATGGTGCTTGAGTTTTGTATAAACTTCAGCTGGTTTGTCCAGATGTGGCATACGAATTAGCATTTAAAGTAGAAGAAGGATAGGAAGCTATTCTTCAGTTAAAAAAAAAAAATACGTTTGTCTGACTGCAATGTATGTATGTATGTACGTACGTATATATATTTAAAAATTATTTATTGAAAATAGAGCGCTGTTTTTTTAAGAATGAAAGTATGACAGATCTAATGAAAGCGAAATTATTTGAGCCTGTTTTCGAAAAATCAAAATTTGAATTTCAAGTTTTCTAATTGTCTATTGTTTTTGAGATATTTTGGATTTATATGTAGTAGAAGTGGAATATAGAAAACATTTGCAGTGCACTGGCTATTGAGCTGTAATGGCGCCGGCAAGTAAAAACTTCACTTCAACTGAGTTACGTAGTTACATATCTAAAATGTTGTATTACTTTGGGATAACTTAAACCCGAGTTGACTTGAAGTTGAACATTTGGTTGAAAGCACAGTCAGACGACGGCGTTGATCAGTTAATTCCCAAAATAATTCCGATTTAACGAGTTTTGGGGGGCTTTTCCTATAATTTGAGCTCTAAAACTTGAAAATCAGTTTAATAGTTTTAGTTTTATAAGCAAAAGTGTAAAAATGTTCCTATGCCGATGCCCTATGGTCTGGCGAATACTATTTGCTGGCCAAAAGTCGAGAAGTAACCAATTGATTTGATCAAAGTGGCTGATTTCAAATCTGATATCAGATTTTTGGAATTCCAAATTCAAAAAGCTAAATAATTTAAGTTTGAAATAGCAGACCATAATTTTGCTATATGTGTGTATATTTTTTTCTTATCATAGTTGCTTCAAATAAAAGCATGTTCCTTTAGATATAAGTATCGCGAGTGTTTGTGTATTTTCATTAATTTGTACTTATTTATATGAAAGGACACTAGCACAACAAGTATATTACTTATAATTAGGCTAGGTATTCAGTTAAACAAATAACGTAACATAAGAGTTTGAACAGAAAATGAACTGACTTTTGGTCAGCAAATAGTACCTGACAGACCATAGTGCGGTGACAGAAATAATAGGCTCGCCTTATTTTGACCAGATTTGGCTTAAATGTTTAATATCTTAAAAAAAAAAGTAGCAGTAGCTAAACAACAAACACCATATAAATCCACATTTTAATCTTGGTACAAAAATTATAAGAATTCGACAAATTTTCACCAAAATTTAAACTTTTTACTAAAAATTTTTAGAAAATTTTCTGGTATGCAGATTTATAGCTCATTCGATTTTAACGCATCAAAGAGCAAGAATTAAGTGGCTACAAAATACCGTTGATTTTCATTCTTTTTTCTGCTGGGGTTTTCCATGCAAAGTATGTTCGAATTTTTTTTATAACTTTTTCTTTAATAATTCGGAAGTTTACTGGTACGTATGTACGTGTATATATAATTATTTAAGCAATGCGAGTGTTTATTTGTATGGTTGACTACCTTTACCATACCAAAAGCGCTACGGTATGTATATAAGTATGAAATTTCCTAATTCTACGGGTTATGCGAATATGTTTTGGATACGCTTGATATGATACATATGTCTATAGTTAAGTAAATACATCTACAGAGAGGTAGTAATGATTAGTATGTGAGCCAATGCAATAACCAATTGTTACAATTAAATATGTTTGTATGTATGTATATTAAATGTTAAATTTAATTTTCCATTTCTTTGTATGTATTTAAGAAAAATTTACTTTACGTTTCCCACGTATGCGCTCCATCAGACGTTTCAATATACGAACGCCTGGCGTATGGTTGAGCCTGTGATTTAATCTATTCGCAAAACCCTGAAAGATATCAGTAATTTCCCTTTCGAATACTTGTAAAAATGCCTGCAAATAATATACAGACATAGATCTTATTTGATTGAATTGCTAGCAAGGATTCTAGATTTCAGATGCTCTACCAAACATTGGAGCTCGAAAGAAATATTATTGGCAGTGTTACCGTTGTGCGACTAAAGTGTCAAATTGACACATTTTGGAGATCGATGCGCCCTGACACCGACTTTTAACATTAGGCTTATTTTGAAACTTTTCCAAAAAATCGTGCGACCTTTGCTCCTTTTCTTTGATTTAAAATTCCATATACACATTTTGACAATTCGTTTATAAATTAGATTTTTCTTACGGATTTAAAAATGTTTTAGTATTTACTTTTCAAAGGCACTTAAAAATTACACCTCTGGCCGAATTTGTACTGATTTCAACCTTTTTATTATGTCAAACGTTTTCCGAATAAATGTCCAGAAGTAGAATGAATTAATGCCCCGTTTTTGTAGCTTAGAAGTTCCCCCAATTTATTTGTGTTAAATTTATTATTTATTTAATGATGTAAGTACTTTTTTAACTGCAATTTGGGGTTTATACTAAATGCAAAATATGCATATTGCGTCTTTTTAATATGTCCCTCATCAATGGGTTATTATTTTAAGAGAAAAAACTATTTTTGACAGAAAATGATGATCATTATTAATAAGTTATTAAAAATAATGAGGCATAGTCACAGATGAAATAAAGCCTACTCTAAGCAGCTTTTTTGGCAGATTTTCCTTTGAAAAAAAGCTAAAAATAACGTTAGAGTCGATTTTATCTCGACTATGAATATGCCCTAATGAGTTTCGAAAGGTAAAATAATGAAAGTCGTTACATACAATGGTATAAACGATTCGAATGACTTGAAGACACCTTTTTTCGGCTGTGACACCTTTTTTGACACTTTCGAAAAATTTTCAGCGGTAACACTGATTATTGGCATCATGCTTCCAAATATAGATAAATGTTCAATATGAATAGTGATCATTTATTTATATAATTTGCTTAAAATGCTTCAAGTTGTATGTAAACAATGCCAGTAGAAATTAATTTCAAGATCCAATGTAAAGTGAAGCTTTGGGAATAGAACTTTTATTTATTGCCAATCGTATATGTACATAAATATAGTAGCTTACATTCATATGCATATTGAGTACCACAATATGATCGGATTGGGTGTATGGTGCTGATGCCTCCTCATCAAACTCGAAATGCTGGTCCTGTACATAGCTGATTTTAGAGCCATCGCGTGAAAAGTGTTTCACTTTTTTCCGTCGATATTGCCTAGAAATTTGAGCAAACGAATTAAATTAAAGTGGCCGTAGTAAATATTTATTAACCCACAGTCGCACTGGGTTACCACTTACCGGTATACATAGGGTCCTACTTCCTGTACAATTGGTATGGCGCCTTGTTGTACCTTCTGCGCATTGGTCACATTGAAGATGTACACTTTAAAGATCAATGGCTGTGGGAGTTGTACGAATCGCTTATACTGCTCCGAGCCATCAGCAATAATTACATTCTGGGGAGAGAAGAGGTTGAGAATTTGAGTGGTGAAAATTTAATCAATTGTGCGATATTTAAATTACTGAATAAATTTTTAATGCAATTAATTAAATAGGAATGTGATCTACCTGATATCAAAACGGGGTCATTATCTGTAATTAGTTTGTGATATATGGAGACAGTAATGGGGGATAAACGAGACATGCTAATGAAGTGTATGCATTAGGGTAGCCTAATTAATGCGAGAAAAGTAGGCGCTCACATTCAAGGCATAACAAATAAAGAAGAATCCTAAATGGTTGAGAAAAAGTAGTTTAGTTTGTTTTCATGTTTTCTTTTTCAAGAGAATTTATAAAAAAGCCAATCAATTATACTTTAGTCGCCGTTTCGATCACTTAATAACAAATTGTCGTAACGTTAAAAAACTTGGCTTTTTACTTTTTTTTGAGCAAAAAAGCTGATTGTTGTTTGCATTTTATTTTGATGTAAAAAAACATACAAAATAAAAAAAAAATTGGTTGGTATTTTTTAAGCAGAAAACAATCGTAGAAAATATAGAAATTCAGTTTTTCAAGGATATTGAAACATATAGATTTTCGAAGTCTAGCCGATGCCTAGCCTATGATGCTAGTGCTGCTAATTTTAGACTTTATATATTAACTTGTTACTATGTAAAGGAAAAAAAAAAAAAATAAAAATAAATAAAAATAGATTTTCGAAGGTCGTTTTCCGGTTTTTTTAACATCTTTTACATGCCTTTAAAAGCTTAACTGTCAGTGTCTGTTTTGTAGAATTAGAACTTGCCGCTCTTCGCAAGATCCACAGCGTTCTTGTTCGATGACTTTGTTCCAAAGAAATATTTTGCAACAGTATTTAGGTATGCTTGAGTTAAACTCTTCGAGCACAAAGAACGTTTCCGTCTTCCTGATCCCCCATTGATCGGCGAGGTGGCTCCGTAGGTGGTTTTAGAAGGTGAAGTTCTTGACTCTGTCACAAATCTAAAAGATCGTCCTATGTCCATCAGTAGCAATTTCTCTTGCAGCTATTCATTAAATGGCAGTGAGCCTACTACGGTGTTTGCATTTAAGACCTCCCGGCTGATTCCACTTTTCTGAAAGAAAATAGTCTTCGCACCCGGGTGACGCTGAGTCACTCCGGAGGCCAACCGATATCTCTGAGTTTTATGAAAAGCTCCAGCTGTGCTGATCCTTGTTAGAGAACATATGAAACTCTGATCCGGTTATAAAATAAGAAAGGAAAGGGTTTTGGACTTTCGATTGGATGAATACGCAAAGTAACTTGTAACATTTGTAACTTTCTTTCAATTTGTTCCCAAACAACGTATTTAAAGGGCAGACAAATTTTATAAGCCACTTGAGAAAACTGCCATAAGTATGTACATTTTATACGATTGAGCTCTTTACGCAAAGATGTCGCATGCCAAAGTAGTTTACGTGCAATTCCTTAGCCAAATTTTTTACCTCAATAAAACGCCCAAACATTATTAAAGTCGGCTTGAAGGCAACAACAAATTTTCTCCGCCAGGGCAAAAAGTGATCTTGAGTATTTGGTTTCAGTCCTTTTACATAATTTTCCCCTGGAAAAAAATTTATTTACCTGTAATAAAAAAATCACCAAGGGTTAATCCCAATAGTGGGCATCTTATTTTGACCGCAGGGTCTCGTTTCAGCCCACTGTGCGCCGCGTCGATCGGGCGAAGGCAAATAACGGCCCAAATGTATTGCAAGAGTTTTACGAAGTTTTACTTTCAGAATTCAATTAATAGAGCTACCCTAATGTTGCAAAAAATTAATATACGGCGAATATATTAACGCACATATGCACACGCCCTCTCACATACTTTTATTGCATTCCGATATAAGTAATAAATAATGCAATTTGCTTAAAATTTTGACGCGAAATAATAAAAATGATATCGGCAGGAATTGCGACACAATCATTATGGGACTAATTATCATATTTTTGCACCCTAATTACACAGTAAGTAGGGTCACATTGTTGACCTCGTAGCACAGTGACTTTTGAATTAATTTAAAGTATTTCAACGACGTCACGCAAACTGTGAACTTGATTGCGTGGATTAAAAGTGATAAATATTTTTTTTTTTTTTTCAAAACGCTCATCAGAGTTACTTGATGTCATTGCTCTGGCGCTTCATTTCATATATAAATAATATGCATTATGATAATGAAAACGATAACTGGGAATGCAGTACTTCGAGGGCAATCATTCAAAAGGTCGTTTTGGGTACAAAATGGAAAATTCTTAGTCTTTCTAGAAAGTAGAAGTGTTTTTAGAAAAGACGGTACCCGCCTATGCTGACTAAACTTTACTTACAAACAGTATTTTTTTTTGGTCGCAAAACCTACTGAACTTGTCCAAAAATAATATTCTAAGTCGACTCCTGCTTTATTTCAACAACCATGCATCCAAAGCCTCCATAAGTTACGCGTTCACCTGGCTAAGAATTTATGCTTAAATTTATGCGTAAATGTATGAGGCAATTTGAACATTCTTTGCATGAAGAATGTCCAACCAAATTTTATTGTCCTCGCAGTCAATTCGAATGTGACTCAAAACAAAAAAAAAAAAAACAAAAACAAATTTGTGGCCAAATCGACAATGTGTAGTCGTCACCTCGACTTCAATTCAGTTCTTCTAGGACGCAAGAATGCATTGACAGTCAAAAACTGAAAGCAACAACACCAGCAAAAATATACAAAATTCAGGTGTCAGCACTCCAAAAGTAGCAGCCAAATGCATTCTCAATGCTCATAATTAAAATTCTGTCTGCGTTGAGCCATACAAATTGGGGCCACGGCAGCTGGCCTGAAGGAGAAGTGGATGAAGCAGCAACAATACATACACATGTACATACGTTGTTGGCCCATTATAATGACAACTTGACTAATTTACAATTAGTTGGAACTACCTACACTTTTGTTCTGTTGCCGTATATTTTAGCGATCGGTGCTTGATTTTTATTTTTTTTTTTTATTTGGGCGTTGTATCTCGCTTTTCTTTAGTTAGCAACGGAAGCCAGTGTAAAATATTGAAACTAAAGTTTTATGNATTTGGGCGTTGTATCTCTCTTTTTTTATTTAGTTAGCAACGGAAGCCAGTGTAAAATATTGAAACTAAAGTTTTATGTTAAGGTATTTTAAGGTTGTTCGCATGCAAAACATGCATAAATAATAATAATTTAATGGCATAAAATATTTCAGACAATTAATTTTTACAATTTGGCGCTTCTGAATTGTGAATAAATACATATTTAGGTATACATATACATATATATATGTAGCACATGCGGGCATATACATATTCCGATATGCGAGTATTTAAGTTTTTGTAAATGTAACAGCACTTTGAATTTATTGAGTATTCTAAATTTGTGGATTTCAGCTAATAATTGATGCCATTATTTTATAAGTTTGTAAATCAATAGCTTTGAAGTCACAAGACAATACTAAAGAAATTTCAACTGGAAACGCATGCATATTCATTTCGAGAGAATCAAATTTTTAATTTGAATTAGTTTCAGTTTCTGTGTGTAGAAATTCCAGACTTATTTTGACACAATTACCGTATTTTTCGGCCAATAATAATAAGAGATTGGCGCTTACACATATGTGTTAGTCTTTGGCCGAGCTTCTCATCCGATCTGTAGCGTGCGCTTTGATGTTGTGAAGCTGTTTTTGATGGCAGAAATACAACCGGAGGTTCGCCAAGAAAAGATCTTTTCCCTTTCTTTTTGCGATGTTGCTTTGACCAGGGCTCGAACCCAGGCCCTGCGGAGTGGTATTAAGATATATAGATTGTTAAATTATACCCCAAGCTTTGTTTTATTTATAAATCAAATATTGATATAGCTTTGTTTTCCCACCCGTTAACAGTAGTTTGCTCTGTGTTTGGTATACAAATAATTTAATATGCTTTTCAGGTGAGCCCTTTTGACATGAACGCGCCTTAAGTTTGACAGAATTTACGTGATCCAAGCGTTACATAAATCATTACAATACAGATGAAAACTGTACTTAGAAGGTTGGTATATAGAAAATTCAAGTAATTCATGCAATTATGATAGGTTTCGCAGACATTTTCAGTAATCAAGTCGAAGGTAAAATGTAATTGACAAGATTAATTGGAAGCACTTATTTTGAAATTTTGATCATGTACAACACTTCAAGTCCAAGTTCATTTACCAATTGTGTATTTAAGGCAGGTAAAATAGCCAATTGCTGGCAGCTAGGCGGTAAATTAATGTTTGTCGAAGTGTGGTACGAGTTCGTGTGCAGCATGCTAAGTAGTCTGCATAAAGGTGTTCGTCATAGTTGCCAACTTGGTGCTTTAAGCACTAGATTTAGTTAAAACCTGAAATAATTTGAAATATTTAAAGCTGTGGCAGCACTGACTCTACAAATTTAAATGCACTAAAATAATAATTATTTGTACAAATCTTGATTTTTTTACCACCTGAGTAAAACCCATTGTTTCTTGGTGCTGAATCTAAACCTGGTCGCACAATTGCTCTACTAGCAGTAGAATTTTGAGATATCTTAACCTCAAAGTGCCAAAGACACGGTTTTTGGCAATATTTGAGATTATATTATGAAAACATGATTTTTTTTTGAATTTTCGGTTGTTGCGATTCAATTTTTCTTTCTCGAGATATACCAGTTTTAATGTGCAGTACTTCTGTATTACGTCATAGCATGTCTAGAGGCTATTCAATCGTTATGAGCTAAAAAGTTTTGTGTATTGATTTATGTATGTATACTTGTAAATATTGTTAATTTTTTACTTTTGTTAAATAAAAACGTTTATGAAAAAGCATCCTTTGATTTAAAAAAAGTTGGTGCTTTTAGTGTGGTAAAGCGCTTTTTTTCCAAGTTTTTGGTACTTTTTGAAAATCAAAAGTTGGCAACACTGGTGCTCGTAAACGATGAGAGGAACTCTCATAAAAGTTTCGCCATATTGGTGTGACAATTCTCA